TTCGAATCCGTCTTCCCAAAATTGGTTGAGGATCTACTTGCCCATGCCCAAAAGTACAACCTCCCTCAACAGGGTCAAGATTGGCTCAAGGCCGTGAGTGATTTTTCAGAAGAATCATCGTGAATGACATGTACTGATTTAGTTTTCCCCGTATAGTCTCTGTATGCCAACACGATTGGCGGAAAATGCAATCGTGGAATGTCTGTTCCCGACTCAGTATCTCTCCTCCTCGAAGCTCCCCTATCTGAAGAACAATACTTCGAATCTGCCACATTGGGATGGATGACTGAACTTCTTCAAGCCTTCTTCCTCGTATCAGATGATATCATGGATAGCAGCATCACTCGTCGCGGTCAACCTTGTTGGTACAGACAACCAAATGTCGGTATGATCGCTATCAACGATGCTTTCATCCTCGAAGCCGCGATCTACTCTTTATTGAAGAAGTACTTCCGCTCTCACCCTTCCTACGTTGATCTCATCGAACTCTTCCACGAAGTTACATACCAGACAGAGCTTGGTCAATTGTGCGATTTGTTGACCGCACCTGAGGACAAGGTCGATTTGGACAACTTCTCAATGACCAAGTATGACTTCATTGTCACATACAAGACTGCTTACTATTCCTTCTACCTTCCCGTCGCTCTTGCACTTCACCACCAGAAGATTGCAACTCCAAAAAATCTTAAGCAAGCCGAAGATATCTTGATTCCGCTTGGCCAATATTTCCAAATCCAAGATGATTATCTTGACAACTTTGGTCTACCAGAGCATATTGGAAAGATCGGAACTGATATCATGGACAACAAGTGCTCTTGGCTCGTAAACAAAGCATTGGCTATTGCAACACCCGAGCAGCGACAAATACTCGAGGAGAACTATGGCCACAAAGATAAGACGAAGGAAGCCGCAGTGAAGAAGCTGTTCGATGAGTTGAATTTGAAGCAGATCTATGAGGACTATGAAGAGAAGAGAGTTGGTGAGATCAAAGAATTGATTTCACAGGTTGATGAATCTGAAGGCTTGAAGAAGACTGTGTTTGAGAGCTTCTTGCAGAAGATTTACAAGAGAAGCAAGTAAACGGACAGGACCTTTGTTGATCGCGCATACTTCTTTACACTAATGAGCAGCGAGCCATACTTCTTCTAAAAGTTGTTGGAATTTATAGAGCTGAGTTCTGAAATACCCCAGATAAGCCTTATGCTTTATCTTGCACCTTTTGGGTAATTGTTTAATTCGCGCTGATGATTTTCTGTTCGCCGTTATTTTTCTTATGATTCATAAATCTCATTATGCTATATGCTGAATCCTTTCACTATATGGAGCGAGAGGTATTCTGTGCTTCTAAACCGGCTGGTCTGATATCTTGATCCATAGACTCTTATGCTGCAGCTTTCCTCAATTTATCGTGTTCCCATTGAACTACGCTAAATATGACTTGAGCATCTGGTCTTGTCCTCATACGACATTGCCCATAAACTTATATCTTTTGTATCTAGTGTGTCTAGTGTGTCTAGTAGTTCGTACTGGTAGACCAGATATAAGTCTTGAATAATCAGTAATAATTCAATGTTCAAAGTAATTCAACTTTTCAAATTCTGAATTACTTGAATGTTCCCATTGCATTTAAATTCGAAAGTTTCGAACTGTTGGACTGCCGATTTGTTGACAACCCTACTTATGCCTTTATTCTACCAATTATTCTAGTCGTCTCTTGCTCCCGCTCCTCTCCCCTTTTCCGTATTCTCAAATTCTCCCAATCTGTCCTCGTTGTACATAGTTCTGCCACACAACCTCCCTTGGCATTTCTCCACACACCAAAAAAGCCACACATAAGCTTCTTCATCATAAAACAGGAAATACAAGTAATAAGTAGGATGATGCAAAATACGAGCATCCAAACACAGTATGTATCATAGAGGAGCTTCTTCTTCGTATTTTAATGGCTATGTAATCCGAAATCGACGAGAGGGCACCAAGATGTAATAGTATATACGCTGGCCAAAAGAACAGCCCCAGGTTTCTGAGAGCTTCTCCTGCCTTTCCCATCGCTAAAGCAGTAAGTGGGACATTAAAACGCAAGCCCTTAGAACAACAGGAGATTGATCAAGAGGGTATTTGGTAATGTTCCCTTAGCAAATACGAATCATTTTGAGCTTTTCATGTTGAATTTTGTGAATGTAGGAGTGAAAATTGGTCTGAAAGAAGGGCGAGGCGCACAGAGACTTTTACTCTCACCTCCTTGAGTAGTGTTCGCCCCGGTCGCCACTTTAGCATTCCGCCCTGCTTTTACATCAATGCTCCCGTCCATCTCCACATCAGTACTCCCTTACTTACACCCTCTTTAGATTTGGAAAAAATGTACTAAATCCAATTTGACAGACAAATGCATATGGCCCTGATGAACTTGTAGGGAGATCAAAAAACTTTCATTACGTCTTGGTGTGCGATTCACTTCATCAATCTTGTCAAAGTCAAGCGGCTCTTCAAATTGGATAAGAGACACTTAGTAGATTTGAATAAATGTGTAATTGATGTTATACAATATATGCAAAGGGTGTATACGAAAATCAGACTCAAACCCAAACTCCAATTTGCGACTCCTGCCATAAACTGCACTATGATTTCATTTCTACACCTTTCATTGCACCTCCGATAAAACAATTGCTCTTCTATCAAACGAAAAGAACGGAACAAGGGACAAGAATTGATATCGTCTTCAGATAAAAAGATACTTAACTTTATTTCACCTACCAAGAATCCCTCATTTAGTAAGAATAATCTCGACATCATCAGTAGCCTTATGCTTCCCATCTGAAGGTATCAATTTTATAGAGCTTCTCTTGCCGCGACTCATGAAAATGACTTTCTTCATTCCCTCTGGACACGGCTCAGCTGCTTTGGTAAGAGGTGATGCTGGCCGTTGATGAATCGCTGGAGGAGGTGTTATGATAGCGTCTTTTGGCTCAGGATTTGCTGGCAATGAGTCTGCAGATACGATCTCTTGTAGTGGTGACGCCTTAATTACAGACGCGCCAAAGGTGGTTTCTCCCGATTTCGATGAGACGGAAGGTCGAGTGAGTGGTGATATGGGAGACATCAAATGGGAAGTCGGTTCTGGTGTTATACTTCGATTTCGTGGGCCAAATAAGGAGGATAGACGAGATGAGGTACTACCGGATCGTTTAGAAGGTGCAATTGAAGATGCATCTGTGTCGGTCCAATCATCATCACCAAGGCTTTCTGAAATAGACTTTTTAGGGGTTTTGAGTGACGATTCTCGTTCTCGCCTTTTACGATGACGTTGGATTTCGAGTTGACGAATTGATTCGCGGTCCGATCCTCTCGATCTGGCTCTTTGGTAAATGCTACTCTTGTTCTTATCGAATATCTGCGAGGAATTTGTCCACCGGTAAGGGTTCGGGGTTTCTGGTTCTTTCCCTTTGCCTCCCGCTTCATAATCCTTGCTCTGAGGATAATTGTTTGCTTCTTCTTGTTCATCGTCGTCTTCCGCATCATCATTATCGACACCATTCTCATCTTCCTCTCTCTCTAATAGAGCAATTTTATCATCCTCCTTCACCTTCTTGACCTTCGATCTTGGCTTCATTTTGCCCTTTGCTCTATTCTTTGGAGCTTCATTGATGTTTGGTTTGCTCTTGCTTTTCTTCCTTTTACTCTTCTGCTTGTTATGAATTTTGTAGTCCTCTTCATCATTTTCTTCTTCATCCTCTTCAAAGAACTCATCGTAGTCTTCATCCTCGTCTTCATCAATCACCTTGCCTCTTTTTCCATTTCGTTTGTTTCGCGGTTGCTCCTTTCGCCGACTTTTGACAGACTTTGACATCTTCCGGCGATAGATCTCCAAATCGCTGTCACTATCACTGCCGCTGTCAAATTCATCATCATCGTCACTGGCCTCGAATTCACTGTCGTTGCTATCACTGTCATCTTCTTCATATTCATCTTCGCTGAAATCTTTCCGCCTCCTGCTCGCTTTGGGTTTCCTACGGGAATTCTTGGGACGAATTGCGCGCGATCTCTTACCATTTCGAGTAGCTCTTTGACGAGTTCCAGAGCGGCTTTTACTGCGAGTTTCCCATTCTTTATTCCGCCTGGGGCCAATATCTCTATCTCGATCGTGTCTCTTGCCCCTAGACCTGCCCTTTGTTTCTGCTTCAAAAGTTCTTTTACTTTGGTATTCTTCTTCAAGTAATTCCAATACAGGATTTGTGTGGTAAACATTATCTGGAAACGATGTTAGTATCAAGACTACAACTCATCAACAGACCCTGAATAAGCTTACGAGTATTGCCTACAGGATAACCTCTACGTCCCGGTGGGGGACGAGGTAGCTGTTCTTCTGGAAAACTACTGCTGCAACAATTCCCCATGCTTAACTTTCTTCATTATGACCATATCAATAAAAGATCATCCTCTTACCGTAAGATACGAGTTCGAGGATGTGTGTAGATTAAAAGATTGTTGGTCGACATATTCGGTGAGGTCGACACACGCAGATACTCTAACCAGCCTCAATCATAGACCCTAATTATGTAGGAGGACCGAATATAGAGGTCATATTTCACTTGGCACAGGTGAGAAGGTCTCGGACCAAAATTATTGTTTAACGCGCGGTTAAGGGGGGCACTGGTGCGATCGCGGGTCATTTGTGGTTGTCGAACATTGAGAAATTCTGATTGGTCAGCGGTGGGTAGGGGTCCAAAGCTAGCCTAATTCGAGGCAGCAACCAAACAAAATCTCCACGACCTCTGCGTTTGTCCTTCTCCCACCAAGATACGAGAACCTGCAAATTAACGTGGTGATAATAATTACTGGCGGCTAAAAGATACCTAGTACTCACGTCAGTCATTAAGAATAATATCCTGCTTTTTTATCATCGTAACTGGCTGAGGAGGCCGTTTGTGGTCCATTAACAACTCATGAGCACCTGACCGACAACCTGCTAACATCTTTTGTTTTCTCGATCCTTTGAAACGATGAAAAGCTATCTTCTTCTCGAATTGTGGATATTAATCGCTGATCAGCGATTACCAAAGACGACTCTGACTACCTTATGTCTTACATCTAAGGTGAATTAATCGAATTAAAATGTAGAAATAATGCTGAACAAGTATCAAGACACTCAATGAAATCTTCAGACCTGCGCTTTACCGTGAGATTGTTTTACCAGAATTTGCAGATGGAGATGAACTTCAGTGGAATCATCGACAATTACGGGCCATCTCCCAACTTCCTGTTGAGACCCATCTCCGTCACACACGTCGATTAGACTCTAATTATGTTGGAGCGGCTATCCAGGCTTGCCTTTCCAGGTGTTTAGACAATATGACAAATCTCGAGAGCTGTTCCATTAGGTATTTGGCATTTGATATCTCTATGGTTGATAGATTGATCTGATTCACTATTAGCACGATTCCTGGCTTCGCAGCTTACTTCCATCTCGATAAAATCAGGGACATCTGCCTCGATCTATCGAAGAATACACCCCGTTTTCAGATCTTTTATCAGCCACCAAATCTCCCAAATTTCAGAAACCTGCATAGTCTAGATTTGAGAGGCCTGAAGGGTGACCTGGAAGTTCTGGGCACGAGTATTGCCGGAATTCTTTTTGTGAGTGTGAAGACAATAGCATTTCCAAAAACCACCTTTCTCAATATTCGGTTTACTCTGCCTTGATTTTATGATCTAGTTCTTATTAGATTCAGATTGTCCAACCCGAATTATCATCAGATTGTTAGGGTTACGTTGGGTCGATTAAGATGATCTCTGGATTCCAAAGTGCGAGATTGCTATGCCATTCATTCATGCGTGTCGCTACGTGGAGAAATTTCTCTTCCACTCTTTTGCAATCCTTACCTGTTGTCCCGTGAAGATGTTCTACCCATTCTTTTCCTTATTGAGAGTCATTTAAAAATAAATAGCTCATATCATATAGAACGATGGTATGCCTACCGTTACGGCACTCGGTCTCGATCTAGAAGGCCACGATGGAAGCGAAACCACAAATAATTTATTCTTGGATATTTTCGCAGAATTCGACAATATGAGACGAGCAATTGGAAAGCCAGATCTACTATTGAACTTACGAGATCTCATATTGGGAAAAGGGATGTATCATCAGCTCGCTGACATGGACGAGCAATACGACTGTAAGCGGTGGCGATTATCAAACCTTTTAGATGTAACGAAGCTTCGTACATTACGACTTTTGAACGACCCATATATTGAAGGTGGTTACTGGGAGCCATATGGAACTATACATCTGGAGTTATTCGATGGCATTACTGCTCTCCAGAGAGTTTCTGTGGAATTCGTGAGTCAAGAAGTCGTAAAATTACTTCATCACTTAATTATGATGAAAGATTCATCGAATCAAACGACCCTACGAGAGTTTCAAGCAACTCTCGACAGTACAATTCAATCGCGAGCACCTGGCTCTTCTAGCCTATGTGAGGTCTTGGCTCTGATTATGCAATTCGAGTGGCGTCAATTATTGATTTCAGGTGAAGAAAGTTGTATGAATCAAATCTACGAAGCTTCTTGGGATGAGCCTTCATATCAGTGGGAGGAGCTGGGAATTTTGTGGATTAACTGGGTACGTATCACTTTCAAGAAGAATATGTATTGGCATTGAGAGGTATGAGGACTAAATAGAGAACTTCAGGATCAACATCGCGATACACTTCTTCAACTCCCAAAGCTTCGTATTCTAATGTTCTCTTACGCTACAGTAACTATTAGTGGTAAGCGCTCACAAGTTACAGCGTGTGAAGAGGATGCGTTTAGTCTCGCTAAGAGGATCTTTACTGCTTTCCAAGAACATGCGAAGAAACAGAAGAGGGATTCAAACCTAAGATATGTTGGTATTGATAAATGGGTTTTTACTTCTTTGTGGTTGCCTTCTTCAGAGCTCAATGATGGGAACACTGGAGCTGAGGTCGCGCAGCTTGATAAGGAAGAAGCTAGAACATTTGATTTTGTGCGAATGAATGAAGGTTTGGTGATTGGGAAGTACAGGTTGGGTAGAAGTTGGTAATTTGGATATTATTGTATGTGAAGAAGGAAGGTGGTATTGTCTAAAATGCTCCAGATAAATTCTTTTTGAGGGCTTTTTCAATCCCTAAATACATCTATACCCCTTTCAAACGAATTGAACGCGAGACCATACTGTCAGCCCCTTCAGCCATATCACCAAGCCATTTTTAACCAACTCTCGTACCCCCCAAGATATCCCTCATTTTCTCTACCTCCTCACCATTTACATTTTCTCCGTCGCCTACCACAGCACTACTATGGAACCATCCCGCTCCTGTTTCTTGTACCAACTCTTCGAGATTTCTACTGCGTACACCGCCTCCTACAATGATATCGATTCTACCCGCTGCTTGCTGTACCAATTTTTGGAGTTGCACAACTCCTTGAACGGAAGTGGGAGCGCCACCAGATGTGAGGAGAGATGTGAAGTTCAGGTTTATGAGCTAGATTTATCAGGTCATTCTTCTCAACCAGTAATCTTGTGAAAACAAAAAAGAAACTCCAAACATAACTCAAAAGCAAAGGCAAAACCAATGAAACAAGACTCACCACCTCCAACTCCTCTTCCATCCTCGTACTTTCAATCCGATCAAACGCCCGATGAAACGTACACCTCACATTCTCCCCGCCCTCGCCCTCCCTCGCAATCCCAATCAACTCAGCAGATCTCTCCCTATCAACCACTAACCCCTCCCCCCTTCCTCACCATCCTTCAAAATCCCAAAAACAAACCCCCTCCCCCCTAACTCTCCAAACCTCCTAATCTCCTCCTTCATCTTCTCAAATACTTCATCTCCCACCCTGAAATTATCGTCGGGACCTACGCCCAGCGAACTATTATCAACAGGTCGAATCATGATATTGATTTCTCCATCTTCTTCTTCTTCTTTTTTCTCGTTGACCTTCCCATCAAATCTTTTCTCATTCTGGGCATGTAGTGCAGAGTAAACACTCGAGAAATCCTTCACGTCAGGCGTCAATCCATCTTTATCCTTGTGTGCGCAGAGCTCTATGCGCCGCGCGCCGGATTTGAGAGCTAAAAGAGCAGAGGAGGGAGTAAAAGCTGCGATTTCTAGGTTTGGCATATTGGAAATAGCATTGGGGATTGGGGGACGAGGGGAGATTTTATGAGAGTTGGGAGTGGGATATATTGATGAGGGAGATAGCGGGGTAGCGGGGTGAAATTCAGGGCCCAGACATCCTGGTAATTTGATAAGAGTCACTTTTGATTTCCTCTCTAATTACTTTGTTGTTGGGATATGAATATCCTTGGAAGAGCTATGTTTTCTTGGTAATTTATTATGGGTTTTTAAATTCTCCAAATAGACAATTATGTATCACACGAGATTTCAAACTTACTACTTTTGATCACGTACCCATGTTAAAGTTGTAGAGATACTCAATGTTACACATCTTTTATGTGCAAATCATTATATGAGTTGATAGCGTAGCTTCTTATGTTTTGAGATTGTTGAATATATTGTAAATGGAGGGATAGTGGATTAGGCGGGGAAATGAAAGGGGGAGGGGTTAGGAGGGGTAACTGGATTTCCATGATTGATTTGAAGAACGGAAGATGTTGATTGAATGTGAGGGATAGGGAACAAGATCTATAGAGATGCAAAACAGAGAGTGTGAATACGTGGATATTGTGTCTATGAGGATACATGGTGAAAATTTCTAAATAAATTTGGGAGTGTGATAGGGCTAGATCCAATACTTCAAACCCAGCAAAACTCGTCTCCATATACTTTTGGCAATTCACATCTCCTCAATACGTAGATAGGATAAATAACCATATCTAGCATCTTTCCTTCTATTCATCACTAGAGAAAATAGCTCAAATCACAAGCCGTGAACAATTTACATAAGATTACAATTCAAATAGAAATCATTTTCGAACCAGCCATTTATTATTTGGTGTGTAGATAGAAATGCTAACCTGCAAGCAAGGGAGCGGAAGATAAATAGATCCTACTGGCCCAACCAATCCAATCCCGTCTGACAAGAATCTCTACAGTTGAGATAGGTCATCCCAATTAGAGTGATAATTGCCTAACAGGAAAAGAAGAGCAAGGGAAAGCCCAGTGGGAAGAAAAGAAGAAGCAAAATGTACCAGACAAGCCTTCACCGTCAAGAACTCAAGACTCCATGCCTAATTTCGAGAGTGAAAGACGCCCATGTCGTATCATATCATTCCAAGAAACTCCATCCAATCCAATGCGCACCATGAATCCCTTACAATCCGGCTGCCTTCTTAACAAATGCAGCTGCTGCCGTCGTATCCATTCCATAAGTCAGATGAGCCATTAAGATCAAGCTTCCACCTTGACAGATGTTGTCTCCGGCGTGGCAGATGATATCTGTTTTATCGGCTGAGACACCTTGGACTGCATCTCCATTGTCTGGTTATTTCGTTAGTTTCAGATTCCATGTCATGTTGTGGAATATGCAAAGGGTTGAGGACGAACCTGGGTCACCGAAGATAACAGCAGAGCTAATTTTCGCTGTTGTGTCGGCTGGTAAAAGTTTGGCGGCATTATGTACGAGTTGACCACCTTGGGAGTAACCAGAGATGACGACTTTTGTGTCTGGACAGCTGGATAAGGTTGATGTGACCATTGAGGCCCTGTGGTGACGTGTTAGTAAATATTTTTTAGGAGGAAAACAACTAGTCACACTAGAATTTCAGAAGAGGGAGAACATACATAGTCTTACTGCCGGTAGGATCACCTCCTTCCAAAAAGCCAGGAACATCTGCTGGATAGTCGACACCATTCATGGTGACTGAAGATGACCCAAGAGCGGATTTGAGAGCGGAGAGGAAAGGTGGTCCGACTACAGTACCGAGAGTTCCAGTCTCAGTCGTTCCACGAGCAAAGATGACCGTTACGTCTGAGCATGCTCTAGCTTCGATGGAACCTGTTGGAGCGGCAAAGACGGAGAGAGGGAGGAGGAGAATAGACAAGAGTTGTTGAGTTGAGGTCTTCATTCTGAAATTGGTTTATTAATATACTTTTTACAATGAATGGTGTCGATTTAATGAGAATGGATGATCCAGTGAATGAATATGTGAAAGAATGTGTAGATGATGATCAGTGATGAGAGAAGTTGTGTTGAATGGAAAACATCTTGACTTTATATCTTCAAAGTCGAACCCGGCAATTAGGAACGTCATTTATTTTTGTGGAGAATGCCGTCAGATCGTAACATATGCTTAATTCTTAGGAGGCCTTGGGATGAAGTTTCAAGCCGATAATAGTATCCAGATGCTTGTCGGCCAGTCAAGACGAAACTTGCCAAATGCCGAGGTATTCAATACACCTGCTATCACACACCAGACGAAGGATATAACAACATTTCTGTTATTGAAAAAGTAGAAGTGCCGAGGAGAATTGGTGATATTGAGCTACATAGAGCTCATAAAAACCAATTTAGCAATGATTACCCTTCAATACGGGGCACAGTACCGGTATCTCAATGAATGTTCAACTATGTATGTGATCACTGGACCTCTAAGCCGAGCTTTTTCCTCTACGCGCTATATAAGACTACAGCTTGAACAGGCACTTCAGCCAACTGCAGATGTACTAGCCTCGCGTTAATACCTGAGTAAGTATACAGCAGACGGGGAATCAACATCATGGGAAACTTCCCCGACAGCACGATCCCAATTTAGAGATGAAGGACAACAGACGTTAATACGACTTATACGATATATCTGGGGAGAAGAACAAAGCGCATGCTCGGCGCTTATGGCAGAGTTGCAAAAACATTCTTGAGATGCGATTGGCACAAATTATCTCCACTTGGCACACCAACTCCCGTTTCCTAGACCTTTAGACCGTTTTGTTATGTTTCGGCGGGGCTAAGAAATGTTGATAGCCAGGATATTGGTGCTTTGATACCTTTTGAAGTGGGTACCTCAACTTGACATTGAGTGCTTTGCCAATATATCAATCAGTATGAGACGAAAAATTGCTTTTGATGCAACTTGTTCGGATGAATTCGATTTTTCGAAACGTTAAGGATGTAAGAAACATAAGGAGGATGGTGGTGGCTGTGTGGAGAAAAAGCAAAGGAAATTTGATTGTGATGCAACACAACATCATTGTATTTTTATTTTTTGGCTTTGACGTCCAATCTCCAATATGGAAGTCCGATGGGGAGTTTGCCGTGACCCGAGAGTCTGTTTGTTCATCTCATATTCCTAGAATACCCTGTCTCGATCACCGTGATTCATTAAGTCGGTGAGTAGTACAATTTTAAACAGTCGAATGGTGTTCTATGTACATCTTCAACTGCCGATATAGTAGAGATACTTGGAGGTAGTGAGTGGTTGAATCACGGAGGAGAAAGAGGTGCGAGATCGACAGCAAGGACAAGGGAAGGGACCGAAAATTTTCTTAGCCAAGAAGATCCCCTACATGAGGTTACCCCATATTGAGAAAGCGTGAAGCTCCACATAGCTCATGCCTGCTTAGCAATATCCTGCGGTACTATCCGGAAGCTAAAGTAACGCAGAGGAAGCAAACAATTTGGATTTAACTCTCTCTTCAAACCATTTTCAATTGTACATCCATCGCAATTCTTTCTCCTAAACAAACTTCTGAGCCAATTTCGTTGTGGCGGCGTGTCACGGCGTCAAGCTAGCTACTAGACATCTGAGATATCTAGTATTGGGCGTCGCAAGAATACACGGCCAATTCAACCATGAACCGCAAATTCAACTGGCAGCTTTGACAAAAAAGCCTGCCGTCGAATGTTTCGGTCTGAGCCAACATGTACCGAGCCGGAATGATGCGTTGCCCAAAGCGATGCAAGAATGTACAACTCAAGCTGTCATCGACTAATTGAGAAAAGTGCTTGATGTCGATCACTTCATATTTCATCTGACGGCAACAAGTATCAGCGCATGAGGATGTAATTTTCATTGTAAGTTGTGATCATTACTATGTTCTAGGAGGGGGGGGCAGAAAAGAGCTTACTGGAGATATTCAATCGGACTCATTATGGATCACAAGTCCAACCAACCTCACCGGGAGATCGCCGTCAAACGTCAACACCATCGCCGCCCGCGCATCCATAGTATTTACCAAGAGGAAGATTCCAAAAAGTGCAGTCTATGCGATGACGAGCGTCAATAAACCGCCTCCATAAAAGGGGAACCCCTACGATTAAAGGTCTCATACACCTACTCAGCTATCTACCTACCTACCTCACAAATATATGACCGAACATGATATCTTCCACACCTCGAGTATACCAAGAAATCCACCAATCGACACATATACTCAAGCACCAAACTCTTTCCCCCAACCATCCAACCATCTAAACTCTAAAAATCGTTCTCACAAATCCTACACACAAGAGAAGCTCACAGGAAAGAACAATCAGATCACGAGAAACATTTACTTGGAGATTTTATAGCAATCTAATTCCACACGCTACGGCCACACTCCCTAAACTAGCATCCTATTCATTCATCCATCCGTCCACTACACACCCATACACCGATCATAAAATTCTCGTCTCCCATATTCCCCCTCGCTGGAGCGTCGTCACCAGAACCCTCCAGTATCCACGCAACACCTCAATCTCGCATCTCAACCCTCATTTCTTACACTTACCCTCACAATTCCTACACACCACACCACACCACACCACACCCACGCAAACTTCTCACCAACTTCTCACTCCCATCTCATCATCTCCAACTCATCACCCCATCCCATTGACTCCTCTCACTCCTCCTCTACTCTGCACCCATCTCTCCATCCCGCCCAGCCAAGTTCCTCCGCCCTCTCGGTCCCGAGTTCGCTCCCGAACCCACCCATCCCAATTCCAATCACAACCCCAATTTCCTTTTTCCATCCAATCTCCAATCTCCAAAATAAACCCCCCCCAAACCCCCCAAATGTCTCACACACCTCACACACCACCCACACTAACCCGTCTAAATTTAACCCACTAAACTATATACCCAGAAGATATACATACAACTCCCTTATCCCCGCTCTTCACACACCTAAATATACCGATGAAAAAAACTCCGGTAAATGAACCTGAGATATTGGCCCATCGA